TTTTAATGAAAGAAACGAGTATAAATTGCTGCAGTTTGATGAACTTGACCTATACTTATGGACGTAGTAGCTCAAAATACCAACTGAGAGGGAAGGAGTCTTCACATCAAGTATCAATCCTATCTTCTCTGTATACAGGGTAGATAGGGATGGGCAACCAAAAAGGGGGATAAAGGCACAAAGTGACTAGCTTACAAGTTATCAAGAGGGAGTTTAGTTTCAAGAGTATGTGGGGGAAGATAGAGTCCTCACTGAATAGTTTTCATCTTGTCTATACGGGTCTGGTGAAAAAAGATGGGAATAAGATTCTTATGATTCAATAGTGAGTAATTGTTATCATGACTAACTGCGACTGTCACAACTGTAAAGGTAGAAGTTTTGTGACAAAAACAGGGGAATAGTTAATCTTACAGTCCAGAAACAGAGGATCCTAAGACCATCAGGCGAGAAGAATACAAGCGGAATGTGGAACCCTATCCAGAGAAGCAGTGACACCAGAGATGGAGGCAGAGATGGGGACATGGAGAGAAGGAGCAGTTGAGGACTCTAAGACTCATGGAAAGAGCGGGACTGAGAGCTGGCGGCCAGGAGACACGTTTGCAGAATGTGCCCTTTGGTGGTTTAAATTATTATATATTCCTGAGTGGTTTTTGTACATCTCTCCCTCACCAAAAAAATTAAACAAAAAAAAAAAAACAGAGGGAATGGAAGCAATTATTGTTGAATGATGATGCACAGAGGAGATTGTAATCATTGCAATGAAACACTGGTGTAAAGCTGATGTTCTCCCATGTAAACCATCACTTAGTTCACAATTATATATATATACATATGACATCAAGAATATGAAGAAAGCAAAAGGCCATTAGAAAAGACAGGGAAGAATGAAAGACTAAAGTAGATGTCATAAGAGCCTCTGAAACTTGCTCTTGAATGTGGAATAGCTAAAGTGAATGGAAGAAATGATGAGGTAAGAGATGAACAGAAGATTTCAAAGGACAACTTGAAAAGACAAACTAAAGTATTACAATGAAATGTGCAAAGACCTGGAGTTAGAAAACCAAAGGAGAAAAGCACACTCTCAAACCAAAAGAACTGAAAAGGTTCAATCCTCAAGTTGTACAATTGAAGGATTCTGTGGGCAGAAAGTATCAAAAGAAGATGGAAGGAATACACAGAGTCACTATAACAAAACAAAACAAAAAAACCTGGTTAACTTTGAACCATTGTAGGAGGTAGCATATAATCAGGAAACGATGGTATTAAAGAAAGAAGCCCAAGCTGCAATGAATAAATTAGTCAAAAACAAGGCTTCAGGAATTGACAGAATACCAGTTGCAGTGTGTCAGTAAACATACTGGGATGGAAGGACTGGCTAGTCTATGCCAACAAAGCTACCTGGTCACCTGATGGGAAGAGAGCCGTAACTGTGTCCATTCCAAAGAAAGGTGACCCAAAATGATGTGCAAATTATTGAACAGTATCATTACTATCCCATGTAAATAAAATTTTGCTGAAGATCATTCAAAATCATCTGTAAACCACATGGACAGGGAACTGCCAGAAATTCAAGCCGAATTCAGAAGAGGACATGGAACGAGGGATATCATTGCTGACGTCAGATGGATCTTGGCTGAAAGCAGCGAATACCAGAAAGATATTTACTAGTGTTTCAGTGAGTGTGCAAAGGCATTTGTGTGGATTATAACAAACTATGGATAACATTGCAAAGAATGGAAATTCCAGAACACTTAATTGTGCTCATGTAGAACCAAGAGGACAAGAGGCGATTGTTCCAACAGAACAAGAGGATACTGTGTAGCTTAGAATCAGGAAAGGTGTGTGTAGGGTTGTATTTTTCACTGTACTTTCTCAGTCTATATGCTGAGCAAATGACCCGAGAAGTTGGACTATATGAAAAGAATATGGCATCAGGATTGGAGGAAGGCTCATAAACAACCTTCAATATGCAGATGACACAACCTTGCCTTCTGAACGCAAAAGACTGAAGCATTAGCTGATGAAGATCAAAGAATTCGGCCTTCGGTATGGATTATAACTCAATGTAAACAATGTAAAGAAAACAAAAATCCTCACAATTGGGCCAATAAATAGCATCATGATAAATGAAGAAAATACTTACGTTGCCAATGATTTCATTTTGCTTGGATGTACAATCAACACTCATGGAAGGGGCAATCAAGAAATCAAAACACGTGTTGCATTGTCAAATCTGCGGCATACAGCCTCTTTATAGTATTAAAAAGCGGAGATACAACTTTAGTAGGACTAAGGTTCCCGACCCAAGCCTTGATATTTTCAGTCACCTGATATGCATGTGAAAAGTGAACAGTGAATTAGGAAGGCTGGAAAAAAATGGATGCCTTTGAATTAGTGTTGATGAGGAACTTGAAAATGCCATGGACTATCAGAAGAACAAACAAATCTGTCTTGAAAAAAATACAGCCAGAAGGTTCCTTAGAAACCAGGATGACAAGACTTTGTCTCTCATAGCTTGGACATATTATCAGGAGGGACCAGTCCCTGGAGAAGGACATCATGCTTGGAAATGTGAGGGTCAGCGAAAAAGAGAAAGATCCCCTCCCCCTAACAAGATGGATTAGCACAGTGGCAGCAGCAATGGGCTCAAACTTAACAATTGTGAGGAGGGCACAGGACCAGACAGTGTTTCGTTCTGTTGTGCATGGGGTCGCTGTGAGTTGGAACCAACTCAGTAACACCTGAGAACGGCCACAATTAGGTGCTCAGGCTGTGGCAGCACAGCATTAGGTGCTGGAGATGAAACTAGACCTCAGATGCTACTGAGCTTATGGCCTGTCCACTGTCTCTTGGCATCCCCTCCTGAGCTCATCTGGCCAAATGAAGGGTAGGAGTTTGACCGTTTTCACATTGTCGCCCTCCTTCCTGAGGTTTAAAAGCATTTACATCCACAATGCTCAGTTGTGTAATCCTGTTTCATTTCACCAAGAGTTATCTGCGGACAGATGTTAACCATGTTTGTTGTACAGATTCAGTGTTCCTAGAGGTCAGATTACAGACAATGTCATTCCTATTGTGTTCTGAATGCCTTATCTGCCAGGCACATAAAGCGAGTACAGTTGCCATCTTTCAGAAGTAGAAATGAAAACTCAGAGAAGCTTTGCTCCCAAGTGCTCAGCTGCTCAGTGGACGGGTTTCAGTCCATGTTCTTTCTGTGAGCTCTCAGCCACAAGGGACAACCTTTCCTTCCCAAAAGAGTCCATTGTCGAGTGCTTCAGAGCTTTACAAGTGAGATCCATGCCCAAGAGTAACGTGGTTCGTAGTTGTGACGATTTTACAACTCACCATCTCTGCACCATCACCCAATTGAAAAATCACACTTCAATCCCTGCCACCCACACCACTC